AAGAAAAACTATTTTTTTAGTTCCGTAACTGGACCCCCTTATCATTTTAGTCCCGTAAGTCTGTCGCAAACTAGTCCCATAAGTAAAAAATTTTCGCTGTTTTAGTCATCCGGCGCCGGAGACGCCCGCGTGGCTCGCCGGAGGTGACGTGTCCCGCCAGGTCAGCGACACCTGACAGACACGTGGATTTATTTATTTTTTTTCAATTTTTTTTATTTTTTTTAAAATTAAATCAAATAAAAAATTTAAAAATATATAAATAAAATTAAAAATAAATTAAAAATAAGTTTAAAAAAAATAAAAAAATAAACAAAATCCACGTGTCCGCCAGGTCACGTCTCCTCCGGCGAGCCACGCGGGCGTTTCCGGCGCCGGAGGACTAAAACAGCGAAATTTTTTTACTTATGAGACTAGTTTGCGACATGCTCCACTTATGAGACTAAAATGATAAGGGGTCCAGTTAGGGGACTAAAAAAACAGTTTACCAAAAAAAAAAAAAAAAAAAAAAAATTGGACTGCATAGTCTGCCTGTAAGGGTAACTGTAGTTAATTTGATTTGGATCCGAGGTTAAATCAAAATTGGGCCGGGTTGACCCTACCTATGAATACCTTCAAAGAAATTTAACTAATGGGCCAATCTAATGGGCTTTAGGCTTCAAAGTCACCATTGCTTATGCTTAATTACAAGGGATAACACAAATTAGATTTATTTATTTATTTATTTATTAACAATTTAACATATATTTTCGAACTTTTTATTTATTGTTCACAAAGAATATTTCTCTAAAATATTTATTTATAATACTACATTAAAATAACGTTCTTTAACACTTATTTATATTTAATCAAATAATTATTTAATTAAACTATTACTATTCTTAAAATTCCAAAGGTATGTTTGTTTGTATTTTTTAGGTTTTATTATTGTTTTTTTAATAAAACAATTGTTGATGTGAATAATAAACAGTAAAAAGACAGGGAAAAAAAGAAAAAAAAAAAAAAGATCCTAGACTTTTATGAAACATATTTAAACACAACGCAATGCTTCAAATTTCAATAATTCTTATTTTGATATTTATTTCTTTAAAAAATATTAAAATATATGCTTTAAATTCAATATAATTTTTTTTTTTACAAAATAAAGTTTAAATGTATTTTTGCTGAACTAAAATATATTAAGTACTACAAAATACTTTTTCCTACACACAATTAGTGCATTTTTCTAACAATTATTTATATAAATATGAAAAAAAAGTAGTATCATACTCGCTCTGTCCGCAAACTAATGTCTTATTTTTTTTATTTGAGATGTAAAATAACTATTATTCTATTTTTCTTTTTAAACACAGATTTTACCTTTTTACCCTTCGTTCATTTGCTACTTTTAATCTCTACCGTATCATTGAAAACAAATTTGTTAATTTATAAAAAAAGACAATCACCTATAAAACCGTGCAAATATACGATAATAAAATGAATATAATAATAAAATAATTGAAGTTTTAGAGAAGAAAAAGTGGACAAGATTTGCATTGAGGTTGACAATAGACAGAGGGCTACGAAAAGGTAAGAAAAAAAGTGTCAATCTGTTGGTCAACTCCCCACTACCCAAAATTCACCCCACATTACCTAATTTATATTATTAATAAATAAATTTGTAAAAATTATAGGCTACTTTTAATTAATTAATTAATTAATTAATTGAACTAAAACATATAATCCTATTGATTATTTCAAGATTTAAAAGTGAACATAGTCAGTCCTCTATATTTGTGATTTTATTTATTTATTTTGTTCAAGAAAAAGGAGCTAAGGGAAAAGTAGGGTACAAACATATGTATAGGACAAGCCCATGTTTCCAAGATTATTTTTATTTAATTATTTTTTTGGATTTCAATTTTTTTTTTTTTTATAAAAGAATATTTATTTATTTATTTGTTTGTTACCTAACATTCTGCCCTAATTCCAACCCATCTACTGTCACCTTTATTTTATTTTATTTTATTTTATTTTATAGATAGCTATGGATGTATGTGTGTGTGTGTATGTATTTACGTATGGGATTTTGTGATTTATTGTACAAATTGGGTAATTTATAATGAACAAAGTCAATTGGGTACATGTGTTCTTGTAATTGATGATTATAAAATTTCAAAATTATATCTTTTGAGGGAAACTTAATTAAATTAAACAATTTCAAGGAATTTAGATATCTTTTATATTTAATTTTTTAATATAATGATTTATGAATTATATATATATTTAAAAATAGTGTAATAATTGAATAGTAAAACATTTAGATGAAATGTAAAACGAAAACACTCTTTATATTCTATTTATTTATTTATTTGAGTTTGTTGAAATTTGGAAATCATATTGAATTTAAGTAAAATGAATAATATTTTTTTTCATATACAATGTAGAGTAATTTAAAATATTATAAAAAATTTACATTAAATTAAAAATATTAAATTTAGAATATCAGGTAATGCATGGAAATGAAGTATCGAAATATTTAAGTCTTTGTTTACGTAAATATTTTGGAAGTTTTATATTATTCATCAACAATTAAATTTTTAAAAATATTACATAATAAATATGTGTTTTATTTCCAAAACTTTCTATAATATTAAATTCTTAAGGTTTGTTTTCTTTGTTAAATGGTTTGAATTAATGTATTTTTTTTTTATATGAAATACATGAAATTATATAAATAATATAAAAGTAATTAATGTATATGGATCATTATTTTTTTTTTTGACAAAAAAAAGATCCTCATTCTTTTACTACTAAAATAATTTAAAATTATAAAAATTTCTATCTAAACAGAACGCTAATACTCAAATAGGAAAATTCCGAGATTGCAAAAATATGAGACCCGATCTAACATAAAATACCATTTCATTTGTCCCATTTTGTTTGCTACTTTTACTTTTGGGGTAGTATTTTTTAGGTAGTATATTTTGACATTTTTTTTATTCTTTTATTATTATGAGTAAAAAAGTATATATGTATATATATATAGCATATATAAATAAATAAAAGTTACAAAAAATATTATATTAAAATATACCCCCTCCGTCTCAGATACTGTGTCTGCTACATTGTAGACACGGTATTTTAGGAGGGGTGTAATTAGTAGATAATTAAAAATGTATTAGTGAAAATAATTATCCTATAATATAAATAATTATAAATTAAGATTAAGATAACTAATTAGTTTAATTAAAATTTAAAAAAATAAAATTAAAAAATTTAAAATGAGATTAAAGTGTGTAATCATTTTTCAAAAAATGAAAGTGACATGGTATATGGGACGGACAGAAACGGAAACGTGGACATGGTATCCGGGACGGAGCATTATCAAATTAAAAAGAATAGGAAAGATTTAGGAATGGGGAGTATAAAGCGGGTAGTGAATGTTGGACTTGCTGTTGGCTGAAAATTATTGATCAGATAAAAAATAAAATAAATTTTTTTTAATAATAATAATAATATCTAACCTAACATTGGTATATATTTTGTTCAAATGAATTATTTCTATATTTTTTTTAAATTCATCATAATAATAAATAGATACAAGCTAAGTCTTTTAATTTATAGGGTTTTTGTACTTATTTATATACTATCTATGTCCCATAACAAAGTATTCATTTATTTATTTTAGTTCGTCTCATAACAAAGTATTCTATTTTTTTTTTTTTTTAGTAATTGTACTATCTACTTAACATTGCAAATACCCTTACAACTTACAATATATTACACAAATGTCATTACCTTTTCTTCACACAATACTAAAAAGGTTATTTTAGTCATTTATATTTTATTCCTACTATATCCCAATATAATACTAATATTTCTAAAACTCCGTACAAAAAACAACTGAATATATAGTTATGGGACGGAGGGAGTAGTATATAGTTACCTTATATATATTGAGGGTATGTTTACATATGAGATTTTTATGTAGGTTTTATTGATCTATTTTTTTATTTTTTTTTCAAAAAATATGAAATCAAATACTACTTATTTATTTATTTATTTATTATAGTAGTATACTAAAATTTAATTTTACACTAAAAATATTACATAAATAAATATTTATATAACATCAAATAACTATTTCAATTCGAAATTTATTATTCAAAATTAGAACTTCACAAATAAACACTCCCTAATATTTTTAAAGGAAATCGTTGTTGAATAAAATATTTTTTAATAAAAAATTATGTTTGCCTAAGGATCTTTAGATACTTTTATTGTTTAATTAATTTTTTTTTTAAATTTTTTAAACCAAATAATTTATTTTTTTTATATTTTTTACAATACTAAAAATTAATTTTATAGCAAAAGAAATCATATTAATATTTATTTATATTATTTAAAATAATTTTTCAAAAATCTAAATTTAAAATCCAAACCATCGAAAAAAATACACTAGTAGAGATTTTTTAATTTAAAAAATGGGTAAGAAAACACAGATCTTAGAACTTTACTTTTGTGAGTTTATATTACTTCAATACATATGTATTTTTTCTTAAATAGATACAATGAATGATTTATTATTATTATTATTATTATTATTATTATTATGCCAATTTTATTTTTTTTTTAATTCATTCACAATTTTATTACTTCTAATTTAATAAGTAATAACCATTATTGTTTTACTTATCATTTTATATTAAATCATTTCCAAATGAAGTGACTTGCCCGAATTGAAGGAATATAGATATATTCTTATTTTATATATATATATATAAATGAGATGTTGATTTAAATTTGTATTTGAATAAAATTTTGCTTACAGTTTTTTTTTTTTAAAAAAATAATATATTTTTATTAATAATCGAGCATTCATAGTAGATATTATAAAATTTAATTTAAAATCAATATATTTGAACTAAACAAGAAGTCATTTGTTCTTTTGCTAAGGTGTGGAATGACCGTTGATAATTAAATAGATGAAAAACATATATATATATATATATAAAATGACTTGTCCTAAATTGTGATAAGATTTCTGAAACCCTCGATAATGCATATATGATTATTATCGTATGGTACAAATTGAAAGCCACCAAATTTAACCAAAAAGGATTGCAATAATTTAAATAAATTCAAAAAAAAAAAAAATGTAGCTACTGATTGCTAGTGAAGTGGCTGATTCCCATGGCTGTGCTCATCGCCGCCAGCTTCACCAGCTCCGGCGGAAGCAATTGCCCTCCGCCACCACCGCCGCCGCCGCCGCCGCCGCCATTCACGCCGAGAAAATCCCGCGTCAAACCACGCCCCATTCCATTCAACAATCCACCCTGAAAATTATTCACAGCTTGATCAAAACCACCGTTAATCACAAACCCGCCGGAATTCTCCGCCGGCGGCGGCTTAGCCAGCAACTGATGTAACTCGCTCCGGTGGCCACCGCCAAAGGATAAAGCATTTGTCGTCGTCGACGACGACGATGGCGACGAAGATGTCATAATTCCGACAGCTCCATTCCCGAAAATCGAAGGATTAATATTGTTCGAGCTTTTCGTGGATCCCATCTGCGCCGCCTTCTGCAGCAGCGCCGTCGCGGAGAGCGGCGCCGGCGCCGGCTTCGAAAAGTCTGCAGCCGCCATTGATGAGTAATTATTCGCACCCAATTTCCCGTTCAGACATTCCTCTCTCAGACCATTTAATGGCGACGACGACAAATTCGATGAAAAGGGGATATTGTTATTATTCATCATTTGGTCGGAAGAATTAGGGCTGTAAAAATTAGGGTTTTGAGAAGTCAACCAAAGGGGGAATCTCGGTTTTCCGGCGCCGCCGCCGGAAAACTCCGGCAAGGATATTCCGGCGAGATTGTTGCCGCCAAATTCTTGCTGGAAATGATCGTTTCTGAAGGCGAAATTTGCGTTGGAACCAATCGTCGTTATCTTTTCCTCAATTAGGGCATCGCAGAAAGCTCTGTGTGTAATAAAACTGTCCTTCCTGTAAATGCATTTAACCAAAATTTTCATACAAGAACAGACATTCTGTAAAATATATAGATACAGATTTCTGTATCTATATCTTATATATATACATATATATACCTGGAGAAGAGGGTTCCACAGTCGCATTTATACTCACGAGTGCCGCAGGTTTTGGAGTGAGCTTTCCAGTCGGACTGTACGGCGTATTTTTTGGAGCATTTTTCACATTTCCATTTCTTCTCGCCGTGTTTACGGCTGAAGTGTTTTTTGATTCCGGTCAGGTCGCCGAGTGCCCGGCCGGGGTCGTGGTGGACGCAGGTCTTCTCTGGGCAGATGTACACTTTCTTCTTGATCTGATCTTTGTTGGCTCTCTGCTTAAGCTTCCATGGCAGATTGTGGCCTCGACGGTGGAGCTGTAAGTTCTGGTCGCGCTGGAAGCCTTTGTTGCAGATTTCGCAGATGAATCTGTTCGTCGCCATTAACGTCTTTGGAGACAAAGCTATGACTTCTGCATCTGGATCTGCAATTAATTTGATTAATTGATTGATCGATTTGGGGAAATCGGATTGGAATTGAATTGATGATTACCTGGAGTGCCGGGGAGATTTCGTTTCTTCTTGGGGGGTGGATTGGGGTTTGGATTTGGATTTGGGGATTTAGGGTTAGGGTTAGGGTTAGGGTTTGGGGGGAGGATGAACAGGGAAGAAGGAGAGGAGGAATTGGGGAGGGATGAGAAGACATCACCAGCAGCAGACATGATTAACATTCGATTGAGTGCAAGGGAGGTAGAAAACAGACAAGAAATTTATATCTGACTGATGGATACAAACAGATATATGTGATTATTCAAATCGAGGGTTTTCAGCTGTATGTGTTGCAGAAAGTAACAGAAGAACGATGAAGACGACGACGAAGAACAGTTAAAGAGGCGGTGCAAGAAAACAAGAACAAAAATGGTGGGCTGTAATGAAGTGAGGATTGTGTTGTATTGTTCTTAGAGGGATTTGCAGGCAGAAGAGGGTTTGTTTGGATTCAAGAGATAAAACCAAAAAACCATTGAAATCTGTAACTGAATGTTTTCTTTCTCTCTCTCTCTATTAATCTTGAATGGCTTGAAGAAATTCTTCCTGGAGGGCTTGTATATAATTATGTCTTCATTTCAATTTCAAACTCAGTCAGCCATAGTCTATAGATTCAGCTTCTGGGCCCACCTGCAACTCTCTCTCTCTCTCTCTCTCTCTCTCTCTCTCTCTCTCTATATATATATATATATTTATATATATGTATGTATGTATGTATTGATTGGCTGTATGCTGCTTGTAAACAGAATGTGTAGAGCTGTGTGTCTTCCCTACGTAGATTTTCGAGCTAACTTTTGAAACAAACAAGATTCCATCTTATATATATATGTATATATATATATGAGTTTGTTGGTTTAATTAATTAGGGTTGGATTTGTGTTTGGAGCTTCTCAAGAATAATTATATAAAAATTTGGATTGAAATAATATTTGATGTGATGTAAATATGTGTATAATGTAATATTTTAAGAGATTTTTTTTTTTTTTTTTTGTGTTTGATGTAATAAATGTAAAATAAATATTTAATTTAATATTTGTTACTATATTCATCTGCTCTGATGGTGTGTTCTTTATGAGATTTTTCATCATTTTTTTTTTCAAAAATATCAAATCAAATATTATTTTTATTTTTATATTATACTAAAAATTAATTTTATATTCAAACACATATTTATATCACATCATATAATTATTACAATTCAATTTTTTTACTATTCAAATCTCAAGTCAAGATTCAAACCCCCAAACGAACACACCCTTAGTATTCGTCAATTTACTTTAGTGTGGAGTTTAATGAATATTATCTATTTTGCTCTTGATGGGTAAATTAATATAATTGTATTGATGCAAATAATTTACATTTAAAATTATTTGTAATATAAAATGGAGTTCATGTTTTCTTACTTCAAAAAAAATAAATATTTTGTATTTATACTATTGAAAATGATAAAATTTGAAATTTGAAATTATATTGCAATACTCTCTCTATATAATATATATATATATATAGGAACAAAAATAAATACATCTCCCCAAATTCCTTTCACAACTAATCCATCAATTGAAAATTAATCATATGATGAGCCACAGCCACGTAGGTATACTTGATTAATTAAAATCTAATTATATATATATATATATTTAGTTTATTAATTTCCCAAAAATATTTAATACAATTCAATTATTAATGTCTAGTTGAGGATAATAATTAATTAAATTGTGATCGAATACACAACAGCATATATTCAACAAGTGGGCCAAAAATAAACTGAACCTATCGATATCATCAGCTCTATAATCATCCTACCAATCACTTCTTTTATTATCAGTAAATAAAAAATATACAATCCAAATTATAAGATATAGCAAAATTTTGTGATCTAAATAATATATATATTTTTTTATGACGTGGAAACCCGCAGCCGCTACCCGAAAGTGCACACTGGGTAAACCCAGGCCGAACCTAATACCCTGCAAACCAGACCCGACGGGAAAATCACACTATCTGAGGCGTTGTTTGAAGAGGAAGTTGTGAAATAATATTTTTGAATAGGAGATAATAATATGTGTGTTCATTTTGTATATTTTTTTTTTATGAATGTATTTTTTATTATATGAGGTATGAGAAATTATGTCGATAATATAAAAAAATAATATTTTGTATTGAATTATTAATTTTTTGTAGTTAAATATAGTGTATATTATATATTATATATATTGTGTTAATATGTATATATATTGTATTTTATAATATTTATGGAGAATCGTATCATCCAAAAATAAATTGGAATCAATCTATCAATTTTATCATTTTAGTTTATTGGAGATCAATTTATTCATTTATTTAAAATAAAAGTACTTTTAACATAACTTTACAATTTATTATATATTATTACAAAAATAATATATTAATTAATAATACATGATAATAATTCACACAGTATATTTATCATGATTTATGATTGATTTTAATACAAAATGTATGTTGACATAACATAACATGTATAATATAAATGATAAATTATATAACATCCCCATGTGTTTTAATCAAAATGCACAAAACACCTTATGTTTTATTTATTGCGCGAAACCCCTTGTGTTAATGTAAAGTTTGCACAAAATATCCTACTTGTCCAAAACTAATATTTGATTTTAAATAAAGACCTAAATTACGCAAGTTTATAAACAGAAAAAACGCAAAATATCTTAAATAATTTTTTTGAATAAAATAAGTAAATAAATAATTGTTTAATCCTTCATTTTATAGTTTTTGGAGATAAATTGTTATCTGATTTTTATAAAAATTATAAAATAAATTATTGATCAATTATTTATTTATCTTTTTTTTTCAAAAAAAATTATTTAAAATATTTTACATTTTTTATTTGTATAAAACTTACGTAATTTAGGTACTTATTTAGAACCAAATATCAGTTTTAGATAAGAAGGCCGTTTCATACAAATTTTACATTAAAACAAAGAGTTTTACGTAATAAATAAAACATATGGTGTTTTGTGCATTTTTACTAAAAACACAATAGGGTGTTATATAATTTACCCTGATATAAATTGACAATACATTATAATAATTCATGTAACACATAATGATTTAGTTAAAGAAATACTCTGAGAAGTTATTATTTATTCACTGTTTATGCCTAGTTAGCATAATACTTATTAGTTGTAATTATAACACTTTTGGAGACTTTTAAAATTTTAAAATTTTGGAAAAAACAAAAAAATTAATATTTGATTTGATATTTTCTATGATAACAAATTTATTTGATGCAATATTTTTTTCTAAATAAATAGTATCAAATAGGTAAAAATTGATTATGTTAACCAGCCTAAAATGTTACTCATTCCGTCCCACATACTATGTCCACGTTGCCGTTTCTGTCCGTCCCATATACCATGTCACTTTCTTTTTTTGGAAAATGATTATACACTTTAATCTCGTTTTAAACTTTTTAATTTTATTTTTTTTAAAATTCTAATTAAATTAATTAGTTATCTTAATCTTAATTTATAATTATTTATTTTATAGGATAATTATTTTCACTAATACATTCTTAATTATCTACTAATTACACCCCTCCTAAAATACCGTGTCTACAGTGTAGTAAACACGGTATCTGAGACGGAAGGAGTATTATCCAAACTATTGTGAAAAAAATAAATAAATAAACTAAAATTCAAGAACAAGAATCCAAAGTTTCAAAACTCATTGCATTAAAGAAAAGAAAAGTGTTTGAAGATATAGAGAAGAAACAAAGCCTTAAATTTTGCCTACTCTTTTTAGGTAGTGAAGACATTATACGAGATTCGATTAAGGATACAGTAATTGACTGTAGTAACAAAATAAAATAAATAAATAAATATATATATATATATGTATATGTAAAAAGTGATCTGCCTTTCCATGCACAGTTCGTGCGTTCAGAAAACCAAATCATTGCAAAATCATTAATCTATTTATTAATTATTTATTATTTATTTAAATCCTTCATATATTTTGCAGCATGTGTATTGTTGTATATATGATTGTCTGTAAAGGTGTCTGTTCATGTACTGCTTTTGTATGTATATATATATATATTATATTATATATTTTCTCCGTCCAATTTTTATTGTCTCAAAGTATATTTTTATGGTTTTTTAAATGATTGTTTTTTGTTATAAATTGACAAATTTGTTATTAATTATATGGTAGAGATTAAAAGTAATAAATGAATGGAGGGTAAAAATATAAAATTTGTATTTAAAAAAAAAAGAAATAGAACAATAATTTTTAGACGTCTCAAATAAAAAAGTAAAAAATTAGTTTGTGGACGGAGGAAGTATATAATATAATACTTTTTTTCTTTATCATTTAAATTTATATTTATTTTATTTTTTAAATTGTAGTAAAAATTTATTTTTTTTTAAGTAAAAAATTATTCAATTTTTATAATTTTTTTCTATTAAAAAAATTAATAATTAATAATTATTTTTATTAAAATTTGTATACTATTAAATAAACATATATTTGTACTATAGAGGGAGTATATTATATATATATTTATTTAGAGAGAGAAAGAGATGTAAGAATGAGTGCAGAAAGAAAGTTGTCAGAAAATGTTGTTTTTTTGCAATTCCCGGAGAGGTCTGAAACGCCACCCCGTGACCCTCTCTGTCTTTCTTTTTAGCTGATTCTGACTTGTGGATGAGATTTTACTTGGAAGATCTTAGCCGTTCATTTTATTCATCATCCAACGGCTCCCTTTCTCTAGGAATCCCTTGTTATGTTGTCGCATTTTTTTCGTCTCATACTCCCTCCGTTACCTAGTAAAAATAAAGGTAACAATACTAAATTATCTTTATTAATATGGTATAATATAAGAGAAGAAATTGGGTGCTGATTCACTGATAGTGTAAAAATTAGTTATATTAATTTATTTTATTAAATTATATAATTAATGTAATTATATGTAATCACATTTACACTATCAGCATAGGTGCTGATTTTTTAGAGTCAGCACCCAATTCTCTTCCATAATACAAAGGTAGTGATATTTCTGTAATATATTGTAAATTGGAAAGGTATTTATAATGTTAGGTAGATAGTATAGTTACTAAAAAGAAAATTGATACTTTATTTATTATGAGACAGACTAAAATGAAAAAATTGAAAAATTGTTAAGGGACTGGGCGAGTATATTACTCCTCTGTCTCTTATCTATTTATCAATTTACTTGTATAAAATAGACTAAACTAACCTTATTAGTTGTATGATATAAAAGTAATAGTATTTGTGTAATATATTGGAAATTAGAACAATATTTATAAGGAAAGACAGATATTACAATTATTAAAAAAAAATGAATATTTTGTTATAAGACGGACTAAAATAGAAATATGGATGAATTGTTAAAGAACGGAGGAAGTATTTATATAATTCCACCGTTTCATTTTAATTTCTTTAATTTTCTTTTTTGTTGTTTTATTTTAATTGATATGTTTTTATTTTTGATCAAATTTATTAAATCTAAATATATTTAACAAATATAAATTAATTTAATTAACTTTATAATATATAACA